CCGGAATTCACTTCTTTGATACCTACTGCTTTCATCCAAGCTTCTATTAGTTTACTTTTTTCTCTAATTTTCCGAATATATTTTTTACATATATAAAACGGTTAGTTTTTATTGGAAAGTAGTTAATGTAGGTGAAGAGTGAAGATCTATGTCTGAAGTGCTATTGCAGCTTTTCACTGAACATATTAACTTTTTATTTGATTTAACTTTAGAAGAAAACTTCGTCGACTCCATCATCAAAAAAATTTTTACTTTTTTAACATGTTTTATTATTTTAATAAACAATTTTACAATTTGCGTGCACAGTTCCTATGTAAATTATTCCCTCATTCGAGTTATAAATTTTGCCACCAGATGGTGTATGCCCATTTGACGGATCCCAATAACTGGTATGGTGATAGTTTTGCATTTTCATTCTTGGACAATTATAAAATTATGTAAATTTGTTTTTAAGCTCAAATTTCATAATGCCGTTTGTCTTACTACTAAGACTTATAAAAATCTTTTTAGCGCCGACTACCGAAAATATAAATGTTAATATGTCAATTTTCAAATTTCTACGTCAAACGGTTTTTGAAAACGACGTTGATATGTAGTCAAAGAGAAACCAGAAAGCACGTAAGTGATCGTTAATAATTTCGTTTTTCCTTTTGATGTAGGTACTCTAATTATAGAATATTTGTGCACCATTCCAAAAGCGCTGTTATGTTATATCGATAATAGAATTAAAAAAAAAAAATCATTGTACCCTCTTGATATGATATGGGTGAATTTCTGGTTTCGTTTTAAATTGCGCAACTATCAGTTGTAATTGAAAACTTTTCAAATACATAAAATTATACCAACTAATGAAATATGTAAAGAAAAGTACAATACCTCTGCAGCGTGTGAATAAGTACATACAGCATCTTTTTCTTATAAATCTCAATAAAAATACTTCCCTACTGTTTAGTTTTGCCGATGTTGGATAAAAAGTGTTATTAGATTTCAAAGTAACACGATTTTTGTTAAATATAAAATATACGAAAACGAAAGGGGCATTCATATATACAGGGGCGGACTAACCTTAAGGGAGTCTGGGAGAGTTCTCCCTGGGCCCCCCTTGATACAAGGCCACTACATGTCTAAATAATCCCAATCCGCCCTTACATATATTTAGTTAATGGAAACTGCAAACGTATAGGTTCTTGATAGAAATTCATTATTTAGAAATAAAATAAAACAATATTGACAATTTTCACTCTTTTTATTCTTCATAATAATTATTTCGCCATTTTGTGGGTTCTTCCGGAAGCGGATGTAAATTGATGCAAACTCAAGAGGTCCCGTGATTTGCTATTCGAATTCAACATTTCATAATTAATTAAAAATAATTCAGGTATTTCATAATTCATCTTTCCCTTTTTTTAAAACTTGTATGACATGGAAGCGCGACAAGGTGAAATACGTTTGATTGAAAATTTATTTTTTGCAAAATTCATAAAAATGATTCATAATTTCAGGTCCTTTTTAAGCAATTTTCAAATTTGGGCACATAAAATTTTGCTCCTTACACAAATTAAAACAATTTAAATTTGTATGAAGAAATATGCAAAATCATAATTTTAGCAATCGATAAATATGATTGCATATATGTAATTACATTTTAGTTGTCAACAACTTTTCTTTATAAAGATTTCTGCTATTTTCAAAAATAAAGGTACTTTCTTGTTACATAAATCTCATGTTTTGTGTTAAAACTTGTATATGACTGACAAATTATTAAGCCTGATGATCTCATTATGTGTTTTAGACCATGTAGGACTTTTTACAAAGAGTAACATTTTTTCGTAAGATTAATAATAAAAATGTTTCCCATATGCTGTCAACTTAAGTAGACGTACTAATCAAGTACCAATTGTTAAAAACAATAAAAAGTGTGAAAGTTGTTAATGATTTATTTTATTTCCTCATTTTTGAAAAAATTATTAAAAATAAGTATGAAATGGGAATAAAGGCTATTCAAATAAATTAATTTCTGGCTTCAAAATAAAGTATGGAATTTATTTTTAGTAATGTTATAAGGTATCACGAAAAGTTTTGTTAATATCATTAGGGCAATTTTAGAAAAATTAACCAAAGACAAAAATGTAAGATATTAAATATTACAAGTTTATTACTTGTAATTGGAATTGTCCAGAATAGTTTGAAACTGCTGGATTATTTATTAATTTCAAAAACTAAATAATCAAATTAAAATAATTAAACAACAATAATTAACAGTATGTTTCATTAAAATGTTATTAGGGTGACAATTTCAATACTTACATTACATACATAAAAACAGAACATTATGCTTAAAATAATTTTTTTTGTATTTATTTCACGAAAATACGTTTTTGTTGATGAAACTATTGTGGTTTGATAAAGACATTATCTAAAAACCGCAAAGTAATATTTCATTCTATTCAACTGTTTTCACTATATGATAAGCTACCAAACGATGCATATATTGCGTAAATATCTAATGTACAGTAAATGCGAATTGAACGACATTATCTTTTGAAAAATACGAAATTGTCTAGGGAAATTCATACAAGCACCTTTAGCTATATTTTCATAAAAATACTAAACCAATATAAGTCAGTCTACTAAATACAACTTAATGTAGAGATGGGCTGGGTGCTCCGTTTGGACCCGGTACTGTTTTTACCCGGTTGGGTACCAGATAATGACGCTGAGTACCCGGCAGTGCCGAATAATTCATCATACGAAAAATAAAAACCAAACACCAGCAATAATAATTTAATAAGTTTAACCAAAAACCCATCTTATGGAAATTGGTAATTGAGATTGTATTGGGATAGTTCGTTTGTTCTAATTTGGATTATTTATTGATTACTATACTAAATAATAAGTCAGGACGAAAGGACTAGGGATATAAAGCAGACAATAGCGCAGGGTCGTGTCGCCTTCAATAAAAAGAAGTCACTTCTATGTTCGCGAACTGTTAATTTAGAAATTCGAAAAAGATTGTTAAAAGTGTATTGTTTGGAGCGCAGCGCTGTACGGGTGCGAAACATGGACGGTGGACGCAGCAGAAAAGTATAGGTTAGCGTTCAAAATGTGGTGATACCGACGAATGATGAGGATAGCATGTATAGAGCAGGTTAGAAATGATGAGGTATTTGAAGGAATAGGAGAACAGAGGATGTATGGAAGTCGACAAGAAATAGACTACATAGGTTGGTAGGACACCTTTCAAGGCATGAAGGTCTATTATCATCATCATAAGGTCGTCAGTCCTAAGACTGGTTGGAGACGCACCTCCACTCTTTCCTATCCTGAGCTAATCTTCGCATTTCCCTAAAGCTAGAGCAACCCACATCCTTAACTATTTTCGAACAGTAATCTAATCTAGGTCTACCTCAGCCCCTCCTAACATCCGTTTCTGCCTCTAATATGTCTCTGACTAGACCTTCATGCCTGAGAAGGTGTCCTACTAACCTATCACGCCTACTTCTTATTGACTTCCATATAGTCCTCTGTTCTCTTACTCTTTCTAATACCTCTTCAAAAAATTTCATAAATTCAGTTAGTTTAGGACAGTTTTTAGAGGAGCAGATAATATTTTAAGATTAATGTGATTGCAGAAACATATTCCACATTATAGAAATTATGCATTTTCGAAGAAATGTGAAATTTTGTTTGAAAAAAAGTTTGCCTTAACTGTATACAAAAAAAGTGATAAATATGCCAGAATATGATGTATGTTCAAATACTTTTGGACTCTAGTGTACATTATATTATATTAGAGGACGCTACTATATACACATAAGGACATAGGTATATAAATGTACTCAAGATATCTAAACTTATCTTCGCTTATTAGCAGAAGTAAGAGTCTTTTTACCAAAGTAACAATGGCAAAATTTTGTCCAAATTTGTCTTTTCTTTTTACTGAGAAACCATTTTTGGAAAGATATGGTTTAGCAAAACAGGCTGGTTTTAAAGTAGTGGAAAGTGGTTTTCCATTAGGGTTTTCCATAGAACAAGTTTCAGAAGCTAGATCTGCGGCAGGGATACAGCAAGTTTTACTTAACATTTTTACAGGTATGGCATTACACTCTCTTCTATAATTATACTTAATACAATAAAATAATGATAAAAAATAGACATTAAGTTTTATAATATGTTGTTAAGTAAGATTTCTGCTACTTCTAATGCGATCCATAAAAGAAATTACAATACTTAAGTTAGAATTGCCGCTTGCAGTAGTGTAATGGTGGTTGCAGAGTATTTAAAATATTTAAACAGTTTAAAAAAGATAGAAAATTTTATGAAAAAAGGTTGGTACAAATTCATTTAAAATTCAGGAGTCTGTTTATTGGAAAGACACTCGGACACGTCAACCTTTATTTTTTGGCTTGGGGGTTTTTTCATGGTAATTTTGTGTATACAGATTGGCCCAAAAATAAGCGACTACCACCGACTGCATTTTTTTAAATGGATGCACCTATTTTTCATTAATTGAATTCTTCATCAAATTTTAATTTTGTTTCATGTACTTAGACCAACCACAAAAATATTTAATACCAGATTAACAATATTTTCCCAGATAGATAGGTGGATGGGAAGGAGAGGCATTATCTAATGATTAGCTAGGTCTTCAGATCTGACCCACTAGATTTTTATCTACGGGGTCATCTGAAATCTAGTCTACTTCAATAAACCAGAAAATATCAAAGAATTAAAGAACAGACTTGAATAATCACTATCACAATTTTTTATCATTTATGACTAATTAAACTTATTGAATCCTTTTTGGTTGGCTTGAAAGAACAAGAATATTTATAATTTAAACCTGTCGAGGCTCTGAAATGACCAATTTGATTTTTTTTTAATAGGAAGCCCCATTTATTATTACGGAATCCGATTCTATCGAAAAAATAGGTCCAATTATAGTTTCAATAATTTTTTGGTTCCGAGTTTTACCCATAAAAATGTTCTTGTTTTATATCTCACCAGAGAAGTATCAAATCGATAAATGATCTCTACAAAAGTTATCAAATTCTAAAGAATTTTGAGATGTCCAACTTGATTTTATAAATAGGATCAAAAAATGATTTTTAAAATATATTTGGACGTATTTTTTCCATAGAATCAGATTCTACGATATAAAACGGAGTTCCTATCTGAAAAACTAAACAAGTACCACAGGATCTCATTAGGGTCCCAGACTCTAAATCCAACAACTTTGTAGAGGTCATGTTTTAATTGTTTGTTTATTTTTGTTGATATTTGCCATTATAGACTAAAACGGACCATCCTGAATAACATACTTAGGCGACAGTTTACTCAATTATCGAAAATGTCGAATTTAAAAATAGGGTGTCTTGAATTAGTCTATTCTCTGAAGCGATAGAGAGAGTCATCTATAATTAGCACAAGCAATTTTTGATAAGCGGACACATATATCGTCTATTCTGACACATTCAAAGTGTTTACGCAGCAAGAATGCCCAAAAGCAAAGTGGAGAAAATACTTGTCCGTTTTTCAAAAATTACTTATATAGTAGTATTATAGGTATGAGCAGATACTACATATAATAAAATAATTAGGGGTCGTCCATAAAAAACATCACTTAGAATTTCACTTTTTTCGTCAAGCTAAGTTACACTTTCCGTGATCCCTCTAACAAATATTACATCACAAAATCTAATACACCCTCTCCCCCACCTAGCAATGAGAGCGACTTTCTATTGTAATTTTAAAGGCCACCAAGTCTACTACCCTCTCCCCCCCATGTAAAATCTTATGACTCCAAGTAATGCCCATCCCACCCCCTTATGTGCAAACGTATTTTATGAACAACCCCTTGGCACAGTGAAAACGTTTAAAAATAGTTGTATTATGAAATGTAATAAAATATACTTCAATCTTCCACTGCAATTGTACATAAAAAAACGGAATGAGTTTAAATACTTTTATTCGTTCGTTTTTCATATCTTGTAATTGTGATAGCAATAAAGTAATTTTTTTTATAATATTGCACCCTAAAATCCTTTTTTCTTTTGCTGCAGGCGATACTTCTAAAGGAGAACTTGGTTTTGCAGCGATACCTGGAAAAGAGAAGGAATTTAGAGATAGCTTGGACTTAACAATTAATTACGCTAAAGCTCTAGGAGCAACGAAGTAAGTTCTTATTGATATTCATATTTTCATACTTTCTCTATTGTAATTATACCAATTACTTAACAAAAAAAAAATACAACGTGTAATTAAACATTGAAGTGAAATTTCTTCAAACACACAAACATACCGGGATAGGGGGTTAAGGAATTGGTTTAATGGTATTATTTATGCACTATGCTTCGCACGGGTGCAATGCTGATAGTAAATATACTATACAATGTTTTTATATACAACAATCATAGCTTTTTTGTCATTAGACAATACAAACCGGCCGGTACCGCCGCAACCGCTATGTCTCTGCATTTTAACTCTGCAATATCTTCGAAAATATTCATTTAAATTACATGCTGTAAAGGGCCATATTGATCTATATTAAATGTACAATGTATTTAAAAGTACTTAATTGGATAAGTATTAATGCTGTATTGCTTAAAATCGCTTCGTAAATAAGCCATTATTTCTCGTAAAAAGTAAAGGATAAAAAATGGTTATCCCTAAGAGATAGACATATACCATCTCGGACTTTTTTGTAGACCTTTTTAAGGTGTACAATACTGTAGTATATTACTTTGATCTATCTCGTAGGGTTCAACCAGCGTTTGCAATGTAAGCGTAAAAAATGTGTTTATTTACAACATCACATTACAAACCTTTAAAATTATCAGTGTTTCTCTACTGTATTATGCATGTATTATACATATAAACCTTCCTCTTGAATTACTATATCTATTAAAAAAACCGCATAAAAATCCGTTGCGTAGTTTTAAAGATCTAAGCATACATAGGGANTGCATGAGTGTTTTAAATTAAAAAAATTAATATGTTATAACTATTAGCTCTCGATAGTAGTCTAAGAAAAGTGAAAGGCTTATGGAGGGCCTAACCGCCTTTACAAAACCAAAGGCATCCTATTTAAGAGGTTTATATCTCCAAGAAAAGGGCGCAAACGTCAAACAGACGTACTTACAGGGGGTAAGCGACATATTTTAAAATAGAAATGGATTTTACGTAAAATTTGTCTTTTAATGAACAAAATGGTATTTTTTATCATAGATCACTTCGGAATTTCACAGAAAGCAGTTAAAAAGATACTATTAAAACAAATTAACAGTTTTCACCTTCTCCTGATAAAGTTGGAGAATGTCGCTTATGCCTTTTTGTCGTGACGCCATCGACATAATACATTTCTGCATATCTCCATATTACATTTTCCTTGCCAGCATCTTTTATGTACATGTAAAGATAATAATGGTAAGGCTAATAATGCAAACCAGTATTTATAACAGAGAGTATAACTGACTATGAATGAACATCACACACTTTGCGTATCAACAACCTGAATTAAAGACTATAAGTACATAGTATAACATACACGTGAGTGTGATAGTAACGGAAGCAGGTGTTTAAATTTAGATTATAACTTGCAGCAAAATTGTCTTCCTTGCCAAACGGTTACAGACGTAAATCTTATGTTGAAAACACATTATTTCATTTTAGTATTGCAAGTTTCTCACGAAGATTTAGGTATGTGATCATTTAGAATCAAGTCCTAGAAATAGTACGCCAATTTCGATCAGTTTTAAGAGCCCGTAGCCAATCTATTGCAAGACAGCAATGTTTTATTTTGTATTGCCAAATTGAAAATTGACTATTATTCCAGTCATACCAAATATTGTAGTCACTTTGGCGTTTAAGCGTTGTATTTCGCTTATTTGTCAGAAATCCACTGTGTTTTTAACATATTGTATTTTCTTTCGAAACTTACAGGATTTTTATTGCTCTATCGCTTGGATAGCAAATAGATAGATAGAGATAACTTTAAATAAAATGGAAGCGGTGTTGACAAAATAGTAAGTACTGTATAAAAATAAATAAAAGTAAAACAAAAATACTGGTATGCGAAGGAAAAAAGTAGGGAAAAGGCGAATATAAAGATAGGAGACAAAAAATTAGAGGAAGTGGCCGATTTTAGGTATCTAGGAAGTAAGGATATAAAGCATAGGATAGCGCAGGGTCGTGTCGCCTTTAATAAAAAGAAGTCACTTCTATGCTCGCGAACGGTTAATTTAGAAATTCGAAAAAGATTGTTAAAGGTATATGTTTGGAGCACGGCGCTGTACGGGTGCGAAACATGGACAGCGGGCGCGGCGGAAAAGAAAAGGTTAGAAGCGTTCGAAATGTGGTGTTACAGGCGAATGATGAGAATAGCGTGGATAGAGAAGGTTAAAAATGTAGAGGTATTAAAAAGAATAGGAGAACAGAGGACTCTAGGGAAGTCAATAAAAAATAGGCGAGATAGAGACATATTAGAGGCAGAAACGGACGTTAGGAGGGGTAGAGATAGACTTAAGTTAGATTACTGTTAACAAATAGTTAAGGATATGGGTTGTTCTAGTTTTAGGGAAATGCGAACATTAGCTGAGTCGAACCAGTCTTAGGACTGACAATCTTATGATGATGATGATGATCACTTTCAAAGATTATATCTCCTGAAACATTGGTAAAACAATCAGCCAAAACTCGTTTATTAAAAAAATAGTTTTAACTTTTTAATTAGACGAAATTCCCTTATTAGTAACGACACAATTTTTTTTATAGTGTTGAATTCAAATCAAGTCCTTATTAATTGGAGATATCTACAGTGAGTAAAGTTAATTCAAAAATTAATTCACTAAGAAAATTTCACTTTCAGGTCAAAACGTAACGAACAATAGTATTATATATGTATATATTCGCTATCTGAGACATTATATACTTTTCCGGTCCAGGTGTGTCATATACATAACATAATTATCACTGAACAGAAGGCGTTTTAAGTCAGGTGAGAGTACATTGTCATATCAAAAGTCAGTAACCTACAACGGTGTAGTCCACCCCTGACCCATGTAAAATAAAAGCTGACTATAACCCTATATCCGCACCACGAATTTCCGTTTTCGCTCACTTGCAGTTCAGAGTCGATTCCTAGGGATCGGTGTACACCCCGCGACAAAACTTTAGCACACTACATATTTTTCACTACAGCTCATAAAAGAAAGAAATTTTTAGCTTTTATATTCTACTATTATAGACAGTGAGTCAAGATAATCACGTAAATATTAGAAAGCGACAGCTATTGTTTACGTATAGGCTCCGCGTAAAATCGTGCCTTTCAAAAGATGCGACAAAACTATAGCACACATTTAGTATGTGATTGTTTAGCAAACGATTGATACGTTTTGGTTTTGTTTTGAGAATACCATACGTATTTCGAAGTATTACGTGTTTAAAATATCAGTTTATTTTTTCATAATTCCTTGTGTAAAAAACTTAGTTAACTTGAAATATATATCATTAACAGTCTAAAAAAACAAAAACTTAATGTGACACAAATAGCAAAAAATATAATAAATAGATCTGGAAAAGTCATCATGAATTATTTAAAAGACTTGAATTGAATATTTTTAATCTCCATAACGTACTAAGGAAACTAGTGATGAGCAAAATTGACCTTGGTCTTATAATGTTGGTCTAGCAGTCTTGATCTTACGAAAATGTAATACCAAGACCAAGACCTAGACAGTTTTCACACTACTAAGACCAAGACTGAACGACCAAGACCAAGACCAAGACTAAAACCAAGACCGAACGAACAAGACCAAGGCTGAAACCAAGACCGAATACGCAAGACTAAACGAAAGATTATTATTTCAGATGGATTTTTGAGTTAAACTATTCGAAGCAATTTTTAGTATTTGAAATTTTCAATTTGCTTTAAGTACTAGATTTTAACAGTAAACATTAAAAAAAGGAACTTTGTTACTGTATGAAAAAAGGGATCTACAAGTAAGTGATCTTTGTTCATATGTCCGGATGGCACATGCTGGTTGAAATATAGAGACAAACTAATTTCTTTTTGAAATTTTTTCTTCTTGAACCTTGACGAAACTCTTGTACAAACTAGAGTGGGTGGATCGACTTGCGAGTTTCGATGATTTAGGAAGCCGGACCATAGGTTCAACCATAATGGACTACACAAATCAAATGATGGCGTCCTCTGGGGTAAAGCACTCCGGACGTAAACTAGTCCCCCATTCGGATGTCTGGACGAGGACTACCTCGGGGGATGTCATCAATAAGTGCAACAGGGATAGGTGCAAATTTCACGAGTCGGAGCGTGGAATGCTAGGACAATGAGGCAAGTAGGAAAATTGGACAATTTAAAAGTAGAGATGGATAGATTAGAATTAGATATAGTAGGTGTTAATGAAGTCCGTTGACCCGAAGCTGGAGACTTCTGGAGTGGGGACTTTAGAGTAATTCATACAGGATCGGTAGAAGGTAATTCGGGGATAGGAATTGTAATGCGTAGGAAAGTAGGTCAGAGTGTAGAAAAAAAGATACAAATACAAAGCGATAGGATAGTTATTGTTACATTAAACTCAAAGCCGAAGACGTGTTAAGTTTTGTGAAAGGACAGAACAACCTAATAGTTTTAGGAGATTTCAACGCAGTAATAGGTGAAGGTAAAGTGGGTGCAATAGCAGGTTCTATTGGATTAGGCAATAGAGAACAGAGGACTCTATTGAAATCAAAAAGAAATAGGCGAGATAGGTTGGTAGGACACCTTCTCAGGCATGAAGGTCTAGTCAGAGACATATTAGAGGCAGAAGCAGGAGTTAGAAAGGGTAGAGGTACGTGTCCAACCAGTCTTAGGACTGACCACCTTATGATGATGATGATGTTTGTTTCTTCTTTCAAGTATCTTCTACTACCTTGTTCTCTAATAGGTCAATTTATGCGTTGGAGAAAGGATAAGTTCTCAAGTTTTCATAACTCTCGCAACTATCGACACAATTTTTTTTTTGAAAAAAAGAGTCATGATAAACTCGCATGTATGACAGAATATTTCATTATTTAAAACAATTATTGTGTTGGTATAATAGAAAAATTTGTGCTTAGATGAATTGTATAAAAAACGTAAGTATCAGATTAAATGAGCAAGACCAAAACTTAACGGG